AAAGCCATCTCTGATACTAAAAGGACATTTGTCGCTTATAAATAGATGTAGAAAACTTCACTTGAAAATCAATTACACGGCCATAGCGAAWTCTACATGTAAAATGTGCAATACGCGGAACTTTRACTTGCCGAAAGTTTCTTTGCTGGTGAAAAAACTTATCTTAGGTTAACATTAAAATTTAAACTTGACAATAAACTTTTTTCTGCCACCATGTTTTTGATAAACCATTTTAAGATGTAWAGTATTACCATTAGAAGTGCTATAAGGCAAACATTTGAGAAACTTCTAATGTTGAATGATTTCGAATGTATTAGCGGCGATACTAGAGATTAGGACTTCATTTTGAGTTCATTAGCCTAGCATCCATTATGAATTTTATATGAGCTAATTAGCTTATTTAAAATTCAAAATGGATGCTAGGTTAATCAATTCAAAATGTCTTCCAGGGTAATCAATTCAAAATGGCTTCCAGGTTAATCAATTCAAAATGGCTTCTAGGTTAATCAATTCAAAATGGCTGCTAGGTTAATCAATTCAAAATGGCAGCCAAACTTATAAATTCAAAATGGCTTCCAGCCTAATTAATTCAACATGGTGGCAAAGTTAATTAAAACAGATTTTCACAATTAAATTGCATGGTGGTAKTTGGCCTTATCTGATTTGACCTTTACATTTAACTCACTTTATTATCCCAGAAATACAATTTTTGTCTTCCTGTCAGATTTGATAATCAAAACTTATTGCRGAGTTGTCTGGATGTTGCTAAGCAACAGACCTACTGATCACACAGTGCATCACTGTCATGCATATTCAGTGGGTAGTAGGGAGGGGTCATTGGAGACTCATATTTGCACTGGCCCTCACTTTAAGTGCTGGCTTGAATGACATCAGAGTCCCCCCCTGGAGTCTGGGTGGGTGAAGATTTGGCATCCATGCAGTCAGTCTCCAGTATCAGGGCAGTCTAAAGTTTGCTGGTCTTGGCCTTATAACTTGGCTCTAGTCAGGGCAGCGAGACTACCAAAAAGATTTGGCCTGCAGGGGTGGCAAGAGATTGGTGCTGGTGGGGCCTCGGGGAGGCATATTTTTTTTTAAGTCAAATGGGCGTGTACCCTATAGAGATGGAATACATTAAAGACACAGTAAATTTTCTAAGTCCAACTTTATTTGTCAATAAATAAATAACAAAGTACACTCTTAAGATATTTTCTAAGTCAAATATAGAAATTTTCTAAGTCAAACTTCAACAATTTACAACAAACAAACCGATAAGTCACAAAACCAGACCCAAGATTACAAGTCCTCCAGCTCATAAAATAATAAGTCCCTCCCTGACCCACAATGCAAGTCCCTCCCCATCCCAAGTGGCAACCCCTCCCCGACCCAAGGCATAACCCCTCCCCGACCCAAGGCATGACCCCTCCCCAACCCAAGGCATGACCCCTCCCCAACCCAAGGCATAACCCCTCCCCAACCCCCATACTGAGAAAGATGGAGTTAAAAAATGTGATAAATTTAGTTTTTAGCCATTACACTTAAGCCATTAAAGTCTGAATCTAATACCATTGCATCAATTAAAATGGTTTAAATAAACCATGAAACAAAGTGTAATACAATAAAGACATGCCAAAAAAATACAAAGAAAAACATGAAAAAAGGGCAAGTAACCTTAGCACTAAAGTGTATTTCACGGGTTAAGTGTAATGACTATTTCATCAGTACAGAGTGCAAACACTTGAAAGTTTATTTTTAAATTCAAAACATTCAATCAAAACTCATAAAGTAAACAGAAAGCATTCATACACTCCAAACGACCCTTAAATGCTGTGTTTGCACTCTGTACCTAGACAAGGAAAAATCAAAGACATTTCACATTGTGAAACATTGCACACAATATGCACTGCATTCCTGCACAGTTAAACTCTGCTTTATTGATGACCGAGCGAACTAGTAACTCCAAGGTATTCATTCAATGTTTTCTCAATCAAAATAATCCAAGTTCTTCTTGTCTTTAAAAATGTTTGCATTTGAGTAGAGTCAAATGCATCCAGGAAGAGATTGTTTAACAAGTG